ATCATCTTAGTAGATATAGGGCCATTTAGGTAGTCTACTTTTTCTTGAATGAGCTTTGGTAGTTTGTGTCTTTTAAAGTGTCCATGTAAATGGTTGAATTTTTTCAAGAACTTTGTTCACAATTTTCCCTTATTACTCTTAATATGTGTAGAATCTGAAGGAATGTCACTTTTGTCACCTGATACTGGTTTTTTAAACATCTTGTTGCTATGCTCATAGGAGAGCAATCAATTTTAAAACTTTATTGTCCTGTATATATAAAGTGATTCTATAGCTCTAAAAAGGTACTGCTCGTGACTTTAAAAAGTTATAGTATTTCTGCTCTGCTAACATTAATTCTTATAAGTCATTTAAGTTGGGCCTTGTTTCCTTACCTCTAAAAATGATTAGTTCGGTGAAATGGATTAAGATCTTTCCAGCTCGAGGAGTTTGATTCCATAAATGAAAACATGTATGTGTGTGGGGTTCTGAGGTTATATATTTCTTATATATATTTTCCTTTCAGTAGCAAGGGAATTTCCCTGAAAGTGTTTATTCAATGAAAGCAATTCTACAAAACAAAAAAAGAACTTACTCTTTCACTCAATTTTGCTGATAAAATAATAGATCATTCATTCTCTAGTAAGATTGTTTTCTTAAACAGGTACCTACAAATTCTAATTTTTAAACACTTTTCAAGGAGGGAAGAGCAGAGAAGTTTATTTGATATTTACCCAGCTATCTGTAGTAATTTGTTTTTTTCACTCATGCATATAATAAGCAAATGTTTATAATAAAATACAGATTCTATATGCCCTGCTCTCTGCAACCTTATACAAATCTGTTTTCCAAAAACATTAAGAAATGCAACGTCTTCTCAATTTTCCAAGGCCACTTGCTAGTAACTCTTTGAATGTTTTTATTTTGACAATGAATCTTGATTGTTTTTTAGCACTTCTATTTATCAAAATGCTTTATTCTATTTTTTTTAACTGTTTAATTTACTAATTTCATTAAATATTGTTATATTTATTAAACAGGGAATCAGAAATGAGTATACATAAAGGGATTTTTATGGGATTTATATCCTTACCTAAGTAAGGAAGATTGGGTCTTTTCCTATGATTAGTTATGAAGGGGCAATTTTAGCAACAACCAATCAACCATTCTAATACCTTAAAATCCCACAGAGTCAAAAGATCTGTTTTCTGCCAAGAGCAACAGTTTCATAACTTAAAAAAAGAAATCACTGTTTTGGGCAACTAATATAATTGTAAGCTAAATTTTCCAAGGCAGCAATAATTTCATTTCTAAAGATTATCCAGAATGCACGTGAGAATAGCATTGTTTTTTTATTATCCAGGACCACTGAGCCCCTGCATGAGTTCATCCACGATGTAAAAGCTAAAATCTTAAGTGTGTATACATTTTTGGACATCAGCTACGCTTTCCCAATCAGTTAATAAGAGGAACTGAGAAACATATAGTTAGAAGTCATGATACGAGAGGACCCTTAATGAAATTCCTCCAGAACTTTTATTTCAGTGGCCACGTTTAATTTCCTAATTAAAGAATATCCATCTCCTTAGTGAGGCAAAAAAGTAAAATCCAGCTATCTATTATTTAAAAGAGATATCTAAATTACAATACAGATGATTTGAAAATTAAGGAAGGATAAAAAATATACTAGGTAAATGGCAAGGAAGCAGAGGTGGCAATATTAAGAGCAGAGGGACAGAATTTAAGGCAATGAGTAGTTAAAAGGGGGGGAAGGGCTTACTTTATAGTAATAGAAGATCCAGTCCATTTAAATTAGTCGTTAGCCATTATATCTATCATAAAATAGCACAAACACATGACAGTAGTAAGAAAACAGACAAAGACATCATTATAGTAAAAAATTTAAACTATCCCTAAGAATCTGCCAGAGCAAGTATACAAAGTAATTAGGATATAGAAAAAAATTTAAAAGCACAAACATTAACAACCTTAAGTTATACCTTAGAAATAGAAAAAAAAAACACATTCTATTCCCACAGAATATTACAAAACTAAACCATGTGCAAGGCCACGACAAAAATCTCAAAAATTCTAAAAAGTAATCACACCAATCGTGTTTTAATATTCACAAGACAGTAAAACTAAGGAACTTATAACGAAAGGAGAACGACGTATCATCATCACCATCATCTAAATGTTTGGAAACATATTTTTTTAAACTTTTACTTTTCTTCTTCTCTGAAGAGAAATTCATTTGAAAATTATGTCTTTCAACAAGGTCATGCTTAGGTATCATTATTCTATGAATACTGACCACAACAATTTTGTCTTTAAAAAGGACTTAAATTACTAGGAGGCTCAAAAAGATGAAAAAATATATAATTTTCTTGATCTGTGCTCAATAATCCCCTAGTAGAAATGCTTACTTCCAGCCTTCTATTTATAGGAATGTCAATTTGCACTGAAAAAGACACAGGAACAACATACAAGTTCAAGAAGATAAAGGAAAAAAAAATCCATAAGAACTAAAAGATTTTTGTAACAGACACAGAAAGACAAAGAAAATCACTGTATTTTACCTGCTGTTTTCCCCATAACACTCCTAGTGTTATTCATAAGGGTATGTACTAGAGAACCAAGACCAACACCTTTCATCCACAAAATAAGCAAACAAAATAGTTATTTTATTTCAGTTTGTTAAAATAGACAGGAGAAGAACTTGTGGCAAAAAGACATTGTGCTATCAAATAAAAGGAATGAAAAACCATAGATTTTAGGTAAACTAAATAAAACAAGCCTGAGTTTCCTCCAAATAAATAGAAATTTCCAATTGGCAATCACGATAGTTGGTAATCTCGACTGTCAAAGAAGCCAAATTCAATTTCTCTATATTACTGATGTTAGGCTGTGAACTGGACTGAAGGCCTATGGTAACCAGCTCCCACTGGACAGTGTTTAAGATATACCTGCCTCACAATTAATTTTATGAACACATCCAGGAAATCTCTTTATTGTAATATGCCAATATGTCATGCAATAATTCCATCTCAATGATAAGGACTTAACATTCAGACATTCGATCTCTGTTAACATTACAAAATTTGAAAGAAGGAACACACTTAGGTACTCACAGTGTGCGAAACACTTTATATTCTATGAGTCATGGCCAGGGCAGTGATCTCGCTATTAGCATAATGAAAAAAGGTATTATCTCTCCCTCCTCTGAACATCCCTAGCACTACTGTTTCTCTCACACACCTGGCACACTGTTTTGAAGTAGTAAACTTTTCATATGCATCTGACTGATCTGAGTCTATCCCTTAAGGGCAAGCAACTGTGACACCTTCTACTTACTGGCATCTTCCACACAACACCTCACAAGAAGGAGATGCTTTTTAAATATTGACTGTTGTTAATTAACTGAGTAATAATGCCACCAACATATCCTTCCTTCAACAACACCTCTGCAGCATGGTTACCTGCTCTGTACTCCAGAGTGCCTATACTTTCTGAAAATTCTCTGAAAAATTAAAATGAAGCAAACAACAACAAGGTCTACTTAAAATAACTAGATTTTAGTTAAGTGGCATTAGATAAAATGAGTAAGTTTTCTTTAAATTAATCCTAACTCTAATCAAAGATCTTCAAATATCTAGGTTTCTCCCTCTGGATTAGAAAACAGCAGCAACACCAAACACTATCATCTATCCCCACTCTTCCCCTGTGCTCTAGACTTTGCTTAATCAGTGGTCACCTCTACACCTTCCAAAAGGTTCCCATGGCGCCTGGTCTTCAGCAATTCAGTTGTATAATGGTTCTCAAACTTTAAAATGCATCAGAATATCCTTAAAGACTTGCTAAAACATAAATTGCTGCTCTACTCCTAGGGTTTCTTATTCAGTGGGTCTAGGGTGGGCCTAAGTGTCTGCATTTCTAACAAGGTTTTAGGTGATACTGGTGCTACTCATCCAGGGACCCACTTTTTTTTTTTTTTTCTTCTTTTTTTGCAGTACGCGGGCCTCTCACTGTAGTGGTCTCTCCCATTGTGGAGCACAGGCTCCGGACGTGCAGGCTCAGCGACCATGGTTCACGGGCCCAGCCGCTCCGCGGCACGTGGGATCTTCCCGGATCGGGGCATGAACCCGCGTCTCCTTCATCGGCAGGTGGACTCTCAACCACTGCGCCACCAGGGAAGCCTGAGGGACCCACTTTGAGAACTCTTACTACCCTCAAATCCTCCCCTATTTCTGTCATGCTTATTGTGCTTAATTAATTCAAATCAGTTTTAAAGTTTAATTCTTCCTTTAGATGAAGCGTGGTTTCTTTACTACGCTAAATAGGTGTTGGACATGTGGTGTGAATAGCAAACACCATCTTCATGTGGAGCTTTTCAGCATGATAGCAAATGTTTTTAGACAACCAAAGGGAGATTGATTCTCTAACTTTTCTAGCTCCAAAATGCTACACAACCATTTGGACCACGTAACCACCTCTGCAGGGAAGCATCAAACTAGTTATTCAGTTTGCATTATCCCAGGGATGTGCATATAATTCTCTCTGCCAGGAATGTTTTTCCCTCCCTCTTACCTGGTTAACTTCTCTTCTTTTTCAGGTCTTAGCTCAGGGGAGATTTATACAGGGAAGACTTCGTTTCCATCCTCTTCACCAGATCAAATCCTCCTACTATGGGTTCTCACAGAGTCAACTGATTCCCCTCCCTGGTAGCCCTTGTCATGATTGCATTTTTTACATTTGTTTACATAAATATTTTATTAATAGCTATCTTCCACGCTGGACTGTAAGCTCCAGAAAGACAGGGAACGTTTTTGCTTTTGATCACCATTATATTTTCAGTGCCTAGCACAATATCAGACACACAGAAGATGTTCCAATGAAGGCAGACAAGATCAGAGCTTTTTCAGCCCTAAGAGAGATAAGAGAAAGCATTCCTTTCTATAGTCTGCCACCCTAGCTGCTTTTCAGCTACCCCCACCTCCCCACACACATGCAAAAGGCCTTACCTTTTCTGAATAATTCTTGAAGACTTTCGGCACTTTGATTTAATACAGCCCATATCTCTTCCTCCTGCAGTGGTCCACCCCGAACCTCCAGGGCCTCAGCTAGTGTCACATGCATATTACCTAGGAAACAAGGGTAACAGATGGTCTACACATCAGCCACTTTACTGCACTTGCAGTAGTGAAAGTTCTGCATCAGTAATGAGACTATGAGGTCCCTGTTCACCTGAGTTCTCAATATGGCCTTCAATGTAAATATAATATAGTCCTACAGCTTAAAGTCACAGAAGGTAAAGGAGTTAAAGAACTCTCAAAACAACCATTTGCCCTAGCCCAATAGGGTCAAATTCAGAGATAGAACTGGAGAATAGCCATAGTGGTGGTGACTACTTCATGGGAGAAGACAGAGACCTCAGGGTACCAGAGATAACAAAGTGCAGGTAATTAAATCAAAGCAGCCAGACTGAAGTTCCAGGTTTCATGCTATTCATCCTAGGTAAAAAGAATAGACAGGAGACCCTACAGCCATGGTGGAAGAAGTTGGGAATAAGATGGAACACATTTTTTCCATTCACTAATTCATTTCTACATTTCTAATATATACACTATAACTATAAATTTTGCACTGAATGAAATTAACTATTTCTAGACCCAGCTTTGCTGCCAACTTACCATTTGCCCCTGGGGAAGTCATTTTACCTCTAAACTTCAATTTCCCATCTGTGACACAGGAATAATAATAATAGTAACAATAATGCCATTTTGAGGTGGCTATGACAAAGAAAGATGTTACACATGTAAACATGCTTTGTAATCTAAGACGTTATTGAAGTTGAATTAATAAAAAGGCAGGGTACTTCCCTGGTGGCACAGTGGTTAAGAATCCACCTGCCAATGCGGGGGACACGGGTTCAAGCCCTGGTCCGGGAAGATCCCACATGCCGCGGAGCAACTAAGCCTGTAAGCCACAATTACGGAGCCCGTGTGCCAAAACTACTGAAGCCTGCGCGCCCTAGAGCTCGTGCTCCACAACAAGAGAAGCCACCGCAATGAGAAGCCTGCGCACCGCAATGAAGAGTAGCCCCCGCCCCACCCCCGCAACTAGAGAAAGCCCACGTGCAGCAACAAAGACCCAACGCAGCCAAAAATAAATAAATTTATTTTTAAAAAATAATAATAATAAAAAATAAAAAGTCAGAAAGATGCCTCTGTGGTGACATTTCTGTAGGGTCAGTTTTTTTTTTTTTTTTTAAAGCATTCAACTAAGTAGGTGATATATTGATAAATTAAGATTTTCTATGGGGCTCAATAATCCTATTTACATTTTGGAAGAGGGAAATGCAGCTAGTCAAAATCCTCTTATATAAATTTTACTAAATTGACCCTCCTTGAAAAGAAAGTTGCTTTTGTAGTGATTACTAAGATTTTTACACTAACCAAACTAATTTAAGAATAATGTATATCTACTGATAGGCAGAAGCAGTGGGTTTGGAAAAGAAACTAGAAGGGGAAGAAAATGTTAAATACTTATTTTCTGTAATTATATCCTTCATTAAATTTTAAAATTAACCTATAAAAACATCTCCTTCAGATAAAAGTCGACTTTGTTTAGTCAGCTAACAATATTTAATTAAAAGAAAAGCTAATATTTTCTTTTAATTTACATTTATGGTACTTTAACACAGATGGAAAAAAAAAGCAACTACAGCTCTACAAATGAGGCCAGGCTTGTCCTGTTACTTTCCTTTTCAAATGTTTACTATAGCATTTTATTCTTAGAGTCTGCCTTGAGGGGTGTCTACTTAAATGCAGAATGTGGTAGTTAAAAGGGAAGATATAAGATATTGCTTTGAAAAAGCCAAAGGGGTTTTTATTCAGCTTGTACAAAAGAGATTATTCAGACCGCTCCCCCCAACTCTCTAAGTTTCTCATGTACTTTATTATATGATAACACTGTAATAGCCCAGTTATTAAATTAAAAAAAAAAATAGAAGCTTCATTCCTTTCTGAAAGATATCTGAGTAATCTACACAAAACACTATGTTAAATTGGAAGTTTTAACAGAAGATACTATTAGCAATCAGATACCAAAGTGACTTGTGAGAAAGACTACTCTGTAGCAAATTTCCGAAGTAATATGAATGAGATGAGAACCGGTTAGACCGCTCTAAAGCCTACACACAGGGTATAAAGAGTAGGGAGAAAATTCCATCAGGAGAATTTCTTTGAAGAGAGTTGTACTGATTTTCATGCCTCCTCCAAAGCAGTAGGGGTGTGGGAAGGTGCCTTAGAGTGCTTGGTATATGTTCCCTGGAATTTAGGGAGGACACCACAGACTCATGTCTGATACTTTAGGGATCTAAAGTCTTTGACCATCACTGAGGCAGCAGCCAAAGGGAGGAGAGGGCAAATAGAGAGTTGCAGTGAGGAAGCATGCTGTATTGGGAGCTAGCTACTCTTCCACTGGTTGGGCAGGGGCAGAGGGTAAGGTGGACAAGGAGCTGGGCCACACAGCCTCCGGTTAATGAAATCCCACCCCGAAGGTGAAAATGTCCCCAAATTTAGATTGTGGTGATGGTAGCAAAACCCTAAAGCAGTGGTCCCCAACCTTTTTGGCATCAGGGACCAGTTTTGTGGAAGACAGGTTTTCCACGGACCGGGGGTGGGGGTGGGGGGTGGTTCGGGACGATTCAAGTGCATTACATTTATTGTGCACTTTATCTCTATTATTATACTGTAATATATAATGAAATCATTATACAACTCACCATAATGCAGAATCAGTGGGAGCCCTCAGCTTGTTTTCCTGCAACTAGATGGTCCCATCTGGGGTCTGATGGGAGACAGTGACACCCGAAGTCTGTTGCTTACGTCCAGTCTACTCTGTAAGATGCAGCTTAATTGTCACTTGCCACTCACTGATAGGGTTTTTGTTTGTTTGTTTGTTCTTTTGCGGTACGCGGGCCTCTCACTGTTGCGGCCTCTCCCGTTGCGGAGCACAGGCTCCGGACGCGCAGGCTCAGCGGCCATGGCTCACGGGCCCAGCCACTCCGCGGCATGTGGGATCTTCCCGGACCGGGGCACGAACCCGTGTCCCCTGCATCGTTAGGCAGACTCTCAACCACTGCGCCACCAGGGAAGCCCACTGATAGGGTTTTGATACAAGTCTTCAAGTGACTGATTTATTATGGTCTCTGTGCAGTCAAACCTCTCTGCTAATGATAATCTGTATTTGCAGCCGCTCCCCAGCACTAGCATTACCCCCTCAGCTCCCTCAGATCATCAGGCATTAGATTCTCATAAGGAGCGTGCAACCTAGATCCCTCACACGTGCAGTTCACAGTAGGGTTTGTGCTCCTATGAGAATCTAACACTGCCGCTGATCTGACAGGAGGCGGATCTCAGGTGGTAATGAGAGCGATGGGGAGCGGCTGTAAATACAGATGGAGCTTCACTCGCTCGTCCAGCTGCTCACTTCCTGCTGTGTGGCCCGCTTCCTAACAGGCCACGGACCGCTACCGTGGCCAGGGGTTGGGAACCCCTGCTCTAAATGGTTTTTTTTGCGGTATGCGGGCCTCTCACTGTTATGGCCTCTCCCGTTGCAGAGCACAGGCTCCAGACGCGCAGGCTCAGCGGCCGTGGCCCACGGGCCCAGCCGCTCCGCGGCATGTAGGATCCTCCCAGACCGGGGCACGAACCCGTATCCCCTGCATCGGCAGGCGGACTCTCTACCACTGCGCCATCGGGGAAGCCCCTAAAGGTATATTTTAAAAGGGTAAATTTTATGGTATGTCAAGTATATCTCAATAAAGCTGTTAAAAAAATTCTCCCCAGAGTACCACCTGAGGTTCCCACAGTACTAACCAGAAGGAGGAGGAAGTGAGGGGAGGTGGAGGGGGAAGAAGAGGAAGTACGAGGGGAGGGAGAAGAGGAAGAGGAGGAAGAATAATTAGGTGTTGGCTAGTGGGAGGAAAATTTTTTTGAAGCATCACAGGAAGTATATAGTTCCAGTGAAGGACTCTGAAGAACCCAAAAACGTACACACAAAAGGGTCAGCCTTAAGCATATCACAAGCTCAAAGATAGCGAAGCCATGTTATAACAAGAGTCAGGTAAACAATTGTTTGCTTCTCTACCTTTCTTCCTGCCACCAGTTTAAATCCTGAAGCAGTCAAATATAGCAACTTGCAAATGGAAGAGGTAAGCAATAAAAAGAGAAGCCAACCACACTGCCTCCTACTTACTGTTAATCCTAGCTGGGGAAGGGAAGCGTTTTAGTTTTGAATGAAGACTGAAATGGTGCTTAATATATTGACTAGGCACTTTTATTTATGGAATTGACATTGTATTTGAAACGTGATTGTAGTTATTACTATCAAAGAATAAGGAGAGAATTATGGACTTGAGTTTCCTTATAGAGGCAAGAGAATAACTTCCCCACATGAAGGAGAAAGAAGGAAAAGAGAAAGAGAGGAAGGAGGGAGGGAAGGGGGGAGAGAAAGGAGGGCAGAAAGAAAGAAAAGTGATGGGCACAGTAAGATGCTTATGATTATCTATTATAAAGCAAATGCTACATTCACACACACAAAGTGTTAAATCTTAAGATACTGGTTTTCACTTATTTTTAAAGAGATTGGTTTTTAAAATAAATTTTTCCTATAAGTAAGAAAATGAAAAAGTAAAAGTAACTTCAACACAACAGAATTTTTTCCACACTTGATTGTTCTGTCTACAAAGATTACTAATTACACCTCTATTTCTTGATTCAGTCAGGTCTGATTTATGTTATTAATCCTCTTTTGATTTTTATTTAAAACATTTTTTGCCTACTTAGTGTAGGATCTCTATGCATCTCTGGTTGGAACTTGTTAGACCACCAAAACATAGACGGAACATCTGTTTTTAAAAGCAATATTATCTAGTTAACAGAAGAGATTAGACATTTTATATGTATAACTTTGCTAGAAAAGAGGTTTAAGATTTTTAAAAACTGCCTCAACCCCCTAACCACCCAATCTCAAGACAATGTAATGTTAAAGCAGCTTTCTAAAATTCAAACAAGTAACAACATACCTATACCTTATAAATTGTGTACCATCACCAAGTTTGGTAATTGCCTATCAT